CATGCAGGAAACCATCCTTGTGGTCTGCTTTGCTGAAGACTTTAACATCAGCTAGCTCAGGAAGAACATCTTCTATCACAGGTAATGGATCGCGTAATTGCTTCAGCGCCCGATTCAGGTGGACCTGGTCAATGCAGACTCTCAATTTCCCATTGGGCTATTCAATCACTACGAGACTTGACACTCAGTTGGTAGGCTCTTCTACTTTTCCAATCATCTGTAGTCCCTCGAGGCGATCCAGTCCCGACTTCAATTTATCCTTGAGCGCAAAGGGAACTCTACGAGGTGGGTTGATTACCGGTGTGACTTTCTTGTCAAATTCGCGATGAAATTTTTCTTCCATGCAGCCTTGTCCTTTGAACACATCTCATCACTCCTCTTTCACTTGATCCAGGGTAAGACTTGCAATTTTAGTGGTGACTTGTTGAATTTTCTCTTGCTCCACTGTTACGAAATTCATTTGCTGAGAAACGCGAGATCCGATCAATGGTGTGTAATCGCCTTTCACAACAGAAAATTCAGCATTGTATGTCTTGCTGTTCTTCGGGTTGCACATGCTCACTCAACATGTTCCTAAAACGGGCATTTTAGTTTACTGTACATCTTCAAAGTACGGTCGGACTCAGTAATGTTTGTTCCTGGTGGCGCAAACTTCTGAGGCAAAACACTACACGAAGCACCCGTGTCACTCTGCATTAAGGCACTTTCTCCTGCGATTTCCAATATCGCGAAGATTTTCTTAGCGGGAAGGCGGTCTTTGTGGACTGTATACACATATCCTTCAGTCGAGTCGAAGGTTACGGACAGTAATTCTTCTTCGTATCAATAATTCAGGTCTATCATGTTAACACCGTTCTTTGATCGCCTAGTTTTACCGAGAGCACTCCTGCACACTCAGGCGAAATAGTTTGGCCTGCTGCAAGCACGGCACACCTTTCCAAACGCGTAACATTTGATCCATTGCAAGATGTGACTACTTCCACACTGTTTGCAAGACTTCAGCATTTCTTTAGATTCAGGTATGGGTTGTTTTGGATTATTGTTGCATCGTTTCAGTGGCACTTATGACTTTTTCCGCTTGTCTAACACTTTGACACCTTCCACTGGCGTGTTGGCGTTTGATGATTGATCGCTGATCGCCATACGCCGTTTTTATAAATGGCGGCCAACCTAGGTCGAGTCAGGGACCAAGCATGAAGTCGAGGCGTTTTAGGACAAAACACTCAGAATGTGTAGAAAGAGAAAGACATAACTATGGATCAACGACTCACGGAAATGGTGGCCAATCTGGGTCGAGTTAGGGGCCAAGCATAAAGTCGAGGCGTTTTAGGACAAAACATTCAGAATTTGTAGAAAGAGAAAGACATAACTAGGGACCACCGACTCACGGAAAACGACATTCCTGGTTCTTCTTTACGTGGAAAAAGGATACCGGGGTTAAAAAAATAATGAGGTACGTTTTTGGCTGAAATGTAGGAACGATTCTGCCAAAGGTTTACGCACCTAAAGCTCAACTTGTAAAGAGGTAAATATTTAACTTTGTTTACATCGTTCGATCGTGTAGGTCATCATTGTATAATTGTATTTGGAGAAATAAAAAATTGCACTTGAATTGTTTTTCTTTTTATTCTCATTGCTTTTTAAGAGTCGAGGAATACATGAGTCAAGGTAAAGACAGTTTACTTGTTGATCCGGATCCTAATTTGCTGTTCACTAAGCGAAAACTTGCTAAGGGCAGGGTACGAGTTGTTCTTTTGTTGATTCAAGTTCTGCCGATGTTCTTTAACAAAACGTTAAATTTCCCGAGAGTGGTTGGGGCTCTCAGTTAAAGAGAATGCCGCCTTTTAGAAAGGCAGAGATAAACAAATATATCGAGAATAGCAGAGAGTGGCTAGGAAGCAGTCATCATTCGGTTCCAACCAGCTGGAAGAAGGGTAAAACATTCCTCGAAGACGAGTATTTCAAAAACATAGAATGCACTAGCGACGAGAAGTACTTTAATTTTCGCAGTCAGTGGTATCACTCATTCAGAAACAACGACGAACCACAAAATCTTAAGCTAACAATGTGTATTGTGTCTGGAGATGTTGTGAAATCTACTTGTTCGTGCGTGGCGGGTAAGACTGGTTATCGCAACCACTCGTTGGCTCATAAGCTTAAAATGTGCAAATTTTCCTTGTTTAACAGATAAAGTACGCATATTTTCACTACCGTATTTTCATTCCATATTTTTATTACCATATTTTCATTACCATATTTTCACTAGCCATTCTTGTCGAAGATTTTGGTCCTTCGGGAGACCAAAAAATCCAACCCGATTCCCTTCCAGATCAACAGCTCCCTTCTGTGTACAACCGGGCAAACAACAATAGATATATGTCTTATAACTTATATTGGGTTCACTTATTTCGAAATTGATCACGAAAAACGATCTAAACGACCCGTTTGGATAACAAGAGCTTGTAACCTAAGAAAATTACAAACTCCCTAGTGCAAAGCTTGTAAAACTAAAGTTGTTTATTCTAAAACGCCTCGTTTTCAAGTCTGGTACCAGTTTTTTCGCGCTCGTCCGCCATTTATGAAATCGGTGTACAAGATGAGCACTCGTAGACTCTGACAATCGACAAATATCCAAACACTTTACAAGCATCAATTTCGGCTCTTGTAACAGCTTTCGTCGAAAGCTATTCTCAAAGATTCTGCAGACAAAGCGGCGGTGAATTAATTCATGTTTCAAGGTACCTAACTCACACATAGCTGCCAAAGCTCACAGTGCCATCCCTTAAACATCGATCGATTCGAGAGGCCCTTGTTTTTGGTTGTTGAACCTGTAGCGTTCATGGATAACATTCGTCTGGCCAATACAAATGGGAGTCCCACAGATTTGCAACAACATTTATGTCCTGTTTCTCATCTTCAGTAGGAACGGCAAACCATTGTGTACTTCGAGTGCGTCAGCACCTCTGCATGTGATGAAAGTCGCTACGCGAAATCCGCTATCTTTCTCGTTTAACCTCGTGAAGGTTTCCTAAGTGTCCCCATACTTGCTTCCATTTTTTCAAGTGGTAAACGTCGGCAAAGAAACGTGTTGTGTTGCACAACAGGTCGAGCCAGACGTATTCGAATCTGCCGGCGTTCTCGGCATTTCTCGATTTCCACGTTTTGCAGGTCACTCTCAAAGGCTTTTGAATGGTAGTTTGAGGACAAAGATAATTTAAAATATTACACCATATTACTATTCCACTGTAATAACTAGCACGAAGGCAGCTGGAATCAAAGACTTCCTAACGGCTTGGGAAACGACCGGCGGAAAAACGCAACTATTGTTGACATTCAGTTTTTATTTAATATCTCAACAAATATTTACAGCAATAACACCTACAATATCTCATTTTAATTTGTATAAAATGAGCTTGTCAGGAATATATAAATTTTATTTTGAAACCAAGCACTTTCCTGAAAAAATTAATTCAAAACACAAAATAAGCAAAATAATGCAAAACTCAAGGTAAAAGTTACTTATCCTCATTAACATGTTAGCAATATGTTCTGAAAATTTGAAAGAAAAACAATAAATATTGATCTTTTTACGAGTTTTTATTTGCGCCCATATCATTCGAAATAAATTTCAAAAATTCAAAAAATGCATTTCCATGGCAGCAGCCGATCGAACGAAGTATCGATTACAATTCGAATCGCTTCGCATTTAGCGCTGCAAAACATGTTCTCGGCGTAAATTACCGTTTATCGGAGTCATGTAAATCAATTTTAAATCAAATTTGAAGAGCTACGCGAGAAATCGAACAGAAAAGGACAGCTTGAGGCGAACAACTTGGCATTTCAAGACCACGCGGTCGATGGCGACGATTTCGCAATGGCATTACTGGACTTCTTAACTCGATTGTCCACTCTCATTTGCTAGCTACCGGTCCAAATCGCTTTCTTATTCACTTTCCATCCCATCAGCGTAGTTTTTATCATTAAATAGCTCTTCCAGTATCGTTTCGGCGGAGATATTACTCACACGCACTCGCTCGGAGGACAATGCCTTCTTCGCGGGTGAAACTTGAAATTTGAAATGAGCGTTGTGTACGGTACATTCAAACGTCTACCATCAAACTCAGTACCTGCTTTATTTGGTATTTGAACGTCACACACACCAAATTTGGAGGAAATCGGAAGTAACGCAATATAATACGAGGCGGTCAAAGTTTGGGGAGTAATTACTCCTTAAAATTGCAGGGGCTGCCCTGAGAGGATAATAAGGCAAAAAAATACTGCAACTTCCACATTTACAAGTGAAGCGAATGTCAAAGCACGTGGTACTTAACGCACATCATTGGCTAACACAAGTCACGTGATATAAAGCGATTGCGTAACATAACGTTACATATATGTTTATAAAATCAGGCTTGTTAACTCTCTTATCTTGATACTCATGTTGTCCTATGCTGTGGGTGCAAATAATTTAAAGTTCAGCTTAGGAAAGACCCCACCAAAGAGATTGACTCTTGCAGAGTCAAAGAAAGTTTTCCCTTTTCATTGTTCTTTTCTTGCCTCATGCTTACCTGGTCAATTTATATTGAGCAACAAAAAAGGGTCAGACTAAGCTTTCATACATGTTTGCTCATCCAATATTTCTTAGACGTGCCATACTCTAATTGTACCGCATGTTTATTGAAATATTAAAAAAAAAACGTGCCATACTCTAACGGTACCACATGTTTATTGAAATATTACAAAAAAACAAAACAAAACAAAACAAAAAAAAAAAGACTCATTCTTTCGCTCTCTCATGCTCACACTAGTAGTCATCTTAGGACCTTCTTAATACTATGTGCCCGGTTACACTGTACATGTTATTTCCCATGTGACTGTGAATTTCATTTAGAAGGCATGTGGAAATGTGTTTTGTAACCTTTAAAACTGTTATTGAAGTGTGCTCACTTTTTCCCTCAATCATTCCTTGAAGTCTACATCGAATGTTTGACTGCTCTTAGTTTCAGCAAAAGTCACTGAAATTAAAGGTGAACAAACTGTTCATGAAGGGGGCAACCTGCAGTTAACTTGCGAAGCATCAGGTAAACCAGACGTAAAGATCACCTGGACCAAAGAGAAGACAGGGAACCAAGGAAATACGGGTATGCTGCAAGAAGGAAAGGTGCTGACCATAACAAAAATTAGCAGGAATGATTCAGGAACATTCAACTGTACAGCATATAATGGTTTTGGTGAAGCAGAGAGCCAAACAGTCTTTGTGAATGTTACTTGTGAGTATGCACGGAAAAAACTATAACTATAGTGCTAAACAAAGATGCACTTTCCATTTATCTTTTGAGTTGTAAGGTGACTGTGTTGTCATTTACTTAGATTAATGTTTTCCTTACATCCTGGAACCCAGAGGCTTTTGCTCGCCTTGCTTAACATAAACTTTGAATGTGCTTAGAAGCTATAGTGCTACATTGTCTGCACAGGCAAACATATGCTCGACGATTTGAAGTATCACCTCTATGCATGATTTGGAGTGTGAAAAGATGAGGACGAAAGATTTTAATTTGTGAACTTTCTCAGTTTAACTATTGAATGGTAAATTCATTTGAAATTCATTTTATCAAAAGGCCATACAATTAGATAAACCTACATTTATGCCAGAATGGCCAGAGGATCATGTTGTAAGTGATGTCCAGAGAGCAACAATTTTTTGGAACCATTTACACACAAATGCTGTTAACATATGCAAAACATATGCAAACACATGTAAATAAATTCAACTGCAGAGCTACAGACTAGATGAGTGATAACTTCTTAAATGCACTTTTAAGCCATTGATGACAGAATGAATTGGTGATTTTTATTTTTCAAATCAACGTACAGATCCTGCGAAGATTTTTCATTTCACCACTGATTATTATGTTGATGTTCAACAAAGTGTAACTCTTAACTGTGAAGCAGAAGGAAACCCACCACCTACTTATACTTGGATTCCATGTGACTCTGAGCAAGTTTGTGGCGAGAACACTCTTGATATTCCACAAGTCCATAATGATACCAGCTATACTTGCAGAGTGGCCAATGCACTTGGACTCGATTCAAAAACTGCCAATGTTTGTAAGTTACATGTACATTGAACTCATGCATGTAACAGCTGTAGCTTTATAAATGTACCCATATGACATTTTGATTGAGATCACAGAGTTGAACCAAGCGTTATCCTGTCAGGTTGTCAAAGTTCAAATAGTGCTTCTACTTTCTCTTGGTGGATAATTACTGTTTCTTTTGAATAAGTACTTTTGCAATACTATCTATTTTATTACATGTAAAATGCAAAGAAAGCAGTTCAGTAATTTTAACTTTAAGTGGCTAATACAAAGACGAGTATCAAAAGTAGGGGAAGAAACTTTAGTCAGGGCTTCAGACGAGGCACGGGAAAAAATTTTGTGTGGGATTTTGGTGGGAAAATATAGATAATGTTTTAGTTCTTACGTATTTTAGTCATTGTAAGCTGAAGTACTTTAGGACCTAGATGTAAGTATTTTTCATTAAAGCACGAGAAGCAATACCTCTCTTTATTTCCCATCTGTACTTGAAGTTTGAAAGCAAAAAGTCAGTTTGATATGGGCAGCTGACTGTTCTCCTAAATAGTTTTGCTTCAGTTTTAAAACATTTATCAAAATTTTTGCAAGACTGTTGCTCTTTTTCGTGCTTAGAAAAGAGGACTTTTACTTCACTTTGCAGTACAAGGCCAATTAATTCAGTATTTTATTAATTACAACACAAGTTGTCATCTGACAAACAATCACTACAATCCACCAATGAGAAACATGATTAGAAGTTGACCACTGCCCAGGACCATGTATGCTATGGCAAAAACTCTAGTTGTTCTTATATCAATTACGGCTGCTCACAGAAAGTAACAAACTTCCCAATTGTCTCTGCGGTAAATTAGCTTAAGAACGGCCCCAAAGTTTCAGATAAACCCTGGTTCTCAAACGGAATACCTGTGTCACTAAAAGTTGTGGGTGAATATTTCAGTAATGAGTTTCCCCCTTCTTCACAGACATTGGAGGAAAGGTAATTAACATAACTATTGTCATCACAAGTGAAAGATGTACGGATGGAAATTACAAGCAATCCTTGTTACTGGACAAATTTCAAAAACTGGTAAGTTGAAGTACATATAACTTAGGTATTGCTAACAAAGCTATTTATTAAATATATACTGGTATACAATGGAGGGATTGTTTTCTCACAAATAAAGGGTTTGCCTGTGTTGAACCTCACCTGATCTGATAAATTGTTCATTATAATTGTCACTGATTGATAGTTACTTCAGGGTCAGAAACTGATGTGCTAGCTGAATAATAATTAAAAAGAAGTTTAGCTACTGGAGAATGTGTGGAGAATATTTCATATAATTGTGGAGAGTTTCTCGAATCCCTAGATTGTATTGGTCAGTTTGTTATATAATAAGAGTTCTGTCAAATTTTGAACTTGAAAAACCTGCTGCATGAACCTTTTTTATTCAGTGTTGTGCTGTGTAGTTAGGGCAATTATTGGCACAGTGCTTTTTTTTTCTCAAAATGAAATACGAAGGAAGTGACAAGAAGAAAAACATTTATCATTGAAGTAGCGCTTTAGAAGAAACCTACTTACTAATACTCGTGAATTGATTCTCAGCTGACTCCTAGCAAAACACCCATCTTCAGTTTCATTAATTGGTTATTACATAATGTTACGTGTCATCCTCATTTATTTTATGGACATGTACAATATGAATATCAATGTTTGATGCCTATACACTTACATTTTTTTTAAAAATGATTGAAATGTTTACTTGTAGCTTAAAGAGACTTTTGCTGGTAAACCTGGCTACAAAGGAGTGCAATCTATATTCGTGAGGTATTTAAATTAATTTGATTTAATCATGATTGCAACTTGCTATCGTTTCCATATTTAGGGATTTAAAAATTTTATTTTGTCGTCTTCTGTTCTCTGTTTTCAATCTCATGGTACTCTAACCCTTGGTTATTGTCTATCCCAAGGTGTGGAAGTATTATTGTTGACCTTGTACTGAAATTCATCTCCACTGTAAGGGAACAAGATGTTATCACAACACTTAATAACGCTGTGAAAGATGGAAAGTTGGGAGAGTTTAATGTGAGCTCCATAAAAGGAAAAAGACCTAATTTTGAACCGACAGGTGGAGGTGTCCTAACACCACCAGAGGGGCCCTCCATGGGTAAGTCTTCATAACACCATTTGAAAGTTTTTCAAATGATAAGTGAATACACGAACTTATTTTCTAGTGTGAAAAATATGTTTTTGAAGTTAGTATTGTTCATTAAAGAATTCTTTCATGCTTAGCGTGCGTATATCGAGTTGTGAATGGACATGGAAAGTTTGGGGAGCTCGAGAGAAGCATTTGAGGAAAGCTCCTTGAGTACACTCCAATCTTTCCAAGTGCATCTTTCACTCGATGTACACACAGCGAAAAGCATGAGCCAATTCTTCTGCAGAACAAGTCCAATCCATTTCCAGAACGAACGCTTTCTTCTTCGTTGAGAGCATCGATTGATCGAGTGGACGCGGACTCGTCCTCACGAAGATGAGTCGTTAAGTCAGCGGTATTGTTCATAACAAGTGATCGGATTTAAGAGAGTGCGAGCTTAAATTTGCAAAAAGCGGAAATAAAGCTTGCTGCTTGATGAGCAAGTATCTGGAAAATTAGTGTGTTAGTTTTGAAATGTCCCCCGCCTTTACGACATTTTCTAGTGATAATCAATGGCTTCGGTCTCAGTAGAATGTGCTCAAATGTGTTACGTTTTGGTTAGGAGTTTGCAATATCATGTTTACTCAAAGTCACATTCATGTTTAGGAAATGAAATAACTCTTCAAAAGTTATTGTACACACATTTCAGGCAATGCCTCACGCATAATCATGTATGTGTCGACCGGCCGATACAGACACGAACAGGAACAGCTGGACAAACACAACGTGCGAAATTTATTCAGGTTGTCAGCCATGCTTTCCACACCAAACACACAGACGCTTCTTTGCATGCGCAACGCTGCTGACCAATTACAGCAGTCCTACCAACATCCCCTTTTTTTTCAAAGAAACCATTAATGCCTTAATATGTTTCTGAACAAGACAAAAAATAAATAAACACATAAATAAATAAAAAGCAACTCGTAAGAGGAACAAATAAGGTTAGTTAACAGTCCTAGGGTTGTCTCGCTCAGCATTTTGGAGCATTAACTGTTCACTGTTAAAGGCCTAGCCTCTGCGGTGAGGGGATTGGTCGACCATAACGAGACTTTTGCATGGGTCTTTCAACTGGTGAAGGTGTGGCTCCAACTGGAGGATCAGTGGTCGGCACTGCCTTGACTGGTGTAGGAGGGATGCTATCTGAAGTGGGGACTTCTTGCTGTACCCCAGTGGGCACGGGCTGTTGAGTAAGAGGTTGCTGATTACAAGCCTCAGCGGGTCTTAAGTGGTCTATTCCATCAAACCAATTCGTGTGGGGTTTTAATGAGGTACGGGAGTGGCGTCACCTCATTTAAGACCTCTCCAAAGTTCCATCTTTCACCTCGGTGATGATCATTGGGTTTGCTGTAAACGAATTGCCCAGGGACACCCTGTTTTGTCAGCAACATTTTGCTTTAGCTCTTCTGACCAGATGCTCATCGCGCACCACTGGCATAACAGTTCAGAAATAGGCAGATGACTTTGTTCCACGACAAAGAAGCCTCGGTGCTGGTGAAAAAGTCATACCATGAGGCAGTGTATTTCTGTGTTCTTAGAGACCAGTACGTAGGTCAGACTTTTTCAGCATCTTTTTAGCTTCTTTTACTGCAGCTTCTGCTTTATCGGTGGCTCTCGCATAGTACGGTGATCGGGTGATCAACTGAAAATCATAAGCCTTGGAAAAATTCGCAAACTCCTGAGAGACATACAGAGGCCCATTGTCTGACAGAAACCTATCCGAACACCATAGCAGGCGAAGTGTGCTTTTGTAACTGAAATAACAGGTGCCGCAGTAATGCCCTAGTTTAGCAGGTCAACTTCAAACCAGTCACTGTTGTGGTCTATGGTGACAGCATACCACCGTCTTCCTTGCTTGAAGAGGTCTTGTGAGATGAACTTCCAAGGGCCATGTGGAATTTCGTTAGACAACATCGGTTGTTTCGGCAGTAATGAACTGTAACTGGCACACACAGGGCATTTGGCACTTTCTTGGAGGAATGCTGCTCGCATTCCAGGCCAATACATCACTTTTTGTGCACAATGCACCATACTTTCACCACCCTGATGGCCTTGGTGAAGTTTTCTCACCATAGTAGACTGTAATTGCAGAGGAATAATGACCTTATGAGACCTGTAAAAAACACCATGATATACTGCTAGCTCATTCCGGCATGGATAATAATGACGGAGCTCTGTTGGAACGTGGGACTTTGTCAAGCGGCCAACCATGCGCCTCAAACTGACAAAGGACAGACAGCGTACGGTCACCTTGTGTTGCCACTCTGATTTCCTCCAAGGTACTTGGTTGCATTTAGGGGGAATCTAGTTCAAGGGACTTGAGCTCTGCTCTGAACACCTCCTGAGTATCCTTTGAGGAACACTGAAACACTTCCTCTTGGGTGCCAGAGGGTGCAGGATGCTTCAAAGCAGCTCTTGGTAAAGTATCTTCCAAGGACATATACTTGCCCTTCTTGTACACCACCGTGAACTTGATTGGCTGAAGCTGAAGCATTATGCACTGCAAGCGCTTGGGAGCACTACTTAACTGTTTTGTGAAGATTCTTTCAAGCGGTTGGGGGTCTGAGTGAGCTACAACATCTTGCTTGCCGTACAGGTACTGATAGAACTTAGTGCGTGCTACTTTAGTGGCCAAACACTCTTTTTCACCAGGGGCATAGCTTCTTTCAGTGGCTGAAAATGTGGAGCTGGTGAAAGCCACAGGTTGTCCCTCTTGTAACAATGCTCCTCCCAAGCCTGTGTCACTGGCGTCTACTTGCAACACACATGGTTTGTTCACATCAAAAAACTTCAACGTCGTTGCATTTGCGATTACATGCTTGGCTTCTTTGAAGGCTCGGTCATGCTGCGAGGACCACCACCAGACTGCGTTGATATGCACTAACTCGGTAAGTAGTTTCACAATTTCAGCAAGACTCGGTGTGAACCGTGACAAAATAGTTGTACATACCCAGGAAACGCTGAACCCCATTAACATCTTGAGGTGGGTTCATGCCAACAATTGCTCGGACATGATCAGGATGTGGAGAAATCCCAGTCCCACTGAGGAGATGTCCCATCCAGGTAACTTGCTTGACTTTGAATTGAAATTTCTTAGGATTTAACTTCAGGTTTACTTCTTTGCAGCGCAACATTAAGTTCCATAAGTTCATGTTAAAATCCTTTTCTGCCTCCTCAACAGTTTCTCCGCTTCCAAATACTAAGATGTCATCTGCCTTGTTAACATACCTTTTAAACCCTCCAGTGCTTCGTGTTGCCTTCGCTGATACTCTTCTGGCCCCAAACTTACGCTAAACGGCATACGCAACCAACGGTATCTTCCTACTGGGGTATGCATGGTAGTTAAAAATGAAGAACTCTCATCCAGGACAATGTTAGTGAATCCTTTGTACCCATCCACACAGGAAAAAATTTTGGCGTTACTCAGGTTTGGCAGTTACTCATCCACAGTAGGAATAGGGTACTTTGGGATCTAAATGCCTTTATTTATGGTTTGACTGGGGTTGATACACACCCGTAGGCTACCATCTGGTTTTTCTCTGTAGACACTGTTAGAGATCCACGCAGTGGGCTCAGTGACTTTCTTTAAGATACCCTGTTTCTCCATGTCTCGTATTGCCTCTGCTTCTTTAGGCTCTTTCACGACAGGGCTTCGATGGGGGTGAGCTTGAACTGGAGTGACATCAGGGTTCATAGAGATATGCAAAGGCGGGCCCAAACTTCCTAACCCTGTATAAACATCCTTGAAAACATTTAGGACAATAGCCTTGGTTAACTTTCCCCAAGGAACAGGCACATAAGGAACACTAGACTGGCTGACACCATTCACGACAGGTTTCTTTTCAGCAACAACTGCAGCAATGCTTTCATCTTCACGGTTAGGGGCGACTGCATCACTACTACTGGGTCGGCCTGACAACAGATGTAAGCTCTGGTGCAGCAGTGTCACTGTCCCCCTGGGTACTTTATTGAAGTTGATGTACCATCATATCCTCGCTATTCCAGGTACTGGGAGCTGACATCAAAGTGCTTCCTTTCATCTCAATCAGCCCCAGCTTGACACAGTCGGATCCACTTAAGAGGGGTTGTTGTAATCCCATGATCCTTTTACTCGACATCTGAAATTCAAGAGGGTAAAACTGTCCTTGAGTTTCACAAACTAATTCGACCTGCTCCACAGGTGGGATGACACCTCCTCCATAGGTGTGCAAAATAGGGTGAGATGGCCGGATCACGGAACTGACATCAAATCTTGCTGGGCACATACTCCAGAGATATTCCACTGCAAGGGTATTGGCTGTCGAAGCCGTATCCAATGGGAGTGTTTTGCTTGCAAACTGTTTTTTTCCTTGTAGATAATTTGATCGCGGCAAAGAACTTTTTTCCTTTTTGCAATGAAACAGCACTCACAGAGTGAACGTCCAAAGTAAACAAATGATGCACGTTTTGTTCACTAGCAGACCCAGATTTATCAACTTCATTCACATTCTTGGGTTTTCTCTTGCACTTCCTGGCAACATGCCCTTCCTTGCCACAGTTCCGACACATGTACTTAAATGTGACTGCAAGGCACTTTTCTCTAGGGTGACTAAGCCTGGTTCCACAATAATTGCACTCATTTTGGTATGATCCTTTGCGTTGATTATCACTTAGGGGCTGAAGATTCTTTCCTTTCAAACGAGAGGATTTGTCGGTCCAGTTGACTTGCTCCTGGTCTCCTCGTACTTGTCTCATTAGCCTTTTTGCATCCGTAGACGATTCATAGTTCTTGGCTTTTTCAACGACAGTACAAAACGCTACATTACCCTTGCGAATTAAAGGTAGGAATACCTAGGAATTCCTAGGATTTTCTCAAGAATTTCTAAGAATTTTTTCTTAGATGTGTGAATTTTCCCGGTAATTGGAACATGGGGTTCCTAGGATTTCCTAGGAATTCCAAGGTTTTCTAATCTTGCTTGGTGAGGGTGCGTAAT